GCTCGAAGGACCAGCTGGTCCTCAAGGGAGGGGTGCTGCAACCCCCTCCTTCGTTCTCTCTCCTCTTCCCTCTTTCCATTTTTTTCCTCCTTTCCTTTTCTCTCCTTTCCTTTCTCGCCCCCTCACCTTTGCTTCCTAAGTATTTTCTAAATTTAAATCATTTCCTAAAATATGTGATTTGATTATATTCTCCCTTTAATTTAAAAGGTATTTTCCTAAAATATGATATCTATTTTTTATTCTCCTTTCCTATTTCAAAAGCCTTTCCTAAAATCTGAAATCTGATTTTTGTGTTCCTTATTTTAAATGTTTCCTAAGAAATGTCATGTCGCTTTAAACATGAGAGTTTGTGCTTTGAGTTAAGGTCTTGTTTTTTTATATATGAATTCAGATTTTAGCCGTGGTATTTTCCCTTCGAGGGTTGTATCTGACATCGAGGTAGTGCTCCGGTTGTCCCTCGTCCGAGTGGTGCTCCGGCTGTATCTCGACTCCGCCGAGGGATTTATTATGCCATACTTCTATTTCCTTACTGGCATTTCAGAATCCAGCATCTGATGACGTTCCTGCACTCTCCAGTTGCAGTTTGACGCCGTCACTATTGCCAACATGTTGTCCTGCTTCCACAGCAACCCCACCTCTCCAGCCTTCACCGCAACCGCAATCCATCCTCCGACGAAATTTCCACCTCTCCGGCACTGGTTCGATGTCGTTACTAAAACCAGCAGATAAATTCAAATAAGTTAGCAAACTCCAACATAAACCATTACTCCATGTTTATTATTTGGAAAAATCCTATTTAAATAGTGCTTTGTAATTTGATATATCCATATCTTTATATGGTGAAAAATTATTTTGGAGATGTAACTACCTAAGTATGACTATAAAACTGAATAGTATAATACATCCAACAAGTGTAATATCTGTGATTAGTTAAACCAATTTACCTAATACAACCATTATAATCACTTATTTGCTTTGTTTTTCAAAGACACTACATTTCAATTATCATGCATTCCTTTCGCATAGTAATTCTTTTCGAGCAAATCAAACAACCCTCAAGTGAATTTAAAAAAAACAAAAAAACTCAGAGTCCTAAAGGCAAATCAAACAACCCTCAAGTGAATTTAAAAAAAAACAAAAAAACTGTGCTTATTTGTTTCATAATTAAAGTCACTAAAATTTTTGTTATACCATGCCTCTGAGCACTTTTTAAACATGTCTGATACATGAACCATAAGTGAAAATCTGAAAACTACCCAACAAAAACTAATATAACAAATGCTAACAATAACATGATGTTAATCTTCAAAGCATATTTTTAAAACATACGCAATGGTTTCCTCAGGATAATTGATAGAAAAAAACCCATGGTTGCTACTTGGGCTCCATAGAGATCATGACTCAAAGCTCTTTAATAGTGATATATCAGATCTGATCTTATACTCAATATGACAAACCTAAGAGATCCTAAGGCATTCTACCTCCAACTTGCAACCATTTCACTCATGAATAATATTCAAATTTAAATTTTAATTTTGAACCTTTGAAACCTCCTTAAATATTCATTACTTTTGAGCTACTAATCATTACCGTTTAATATTCCCTTCCTAGCATTTATTCTCACGACCCAACCTGATAGCATAAAATTAACCAAGTCATAAACAACGGTCAGATGATATTAACATTTCTTTCAAATCATTTAATACTCAATCATAACTTCCAATAATAAAAAATCACTAAAAACTACAATGTATACTAAATAAAAATTTAAATCATCCAGAAATAAAATTATAATTTGCAAGTAAATTATCTCAAACCAACACATAATAGTATCTCCACTCAAAAGTAAATAGTACAATAAATACAACCAAAACACACAACATTACACATATCAGCAGTAGTACTCCTACTGCAAACTAAATCCCTCCTGAACATCAATATACGATTTTTCTTGAAAGAAACAACTAAATTCAACAGTAGGTTTTACACCACCTAGGGATCAATTATATGTATTTATTGTGTATTAAATTAATATGCATTAAATTAATATGCAAATATTATACATGAATATCTCAACAGTGCAATTTATTAATAAATCAATAAATTTACAACTTTAATTTAACTCTTCGTGTTTCAATTTAAGTTTTACAATTTTTAACCAATTTAAGAAGTCATCAAAATTCTCATCATACACATAGGTACCCTCAAAATTTTATACCTGAAAGTACACATATATCATTTTCATTTTTTTTTGTACGCAAGTGTGTCGCCTCCTGTCACCATATAAGGGCAATCTTGAATAGCATAAGTTTTTAAATTTCATGTCCTTTAACTACTTCCTTTTAAAATTATTGAACAATCATTTTCCCTTTTTTTATCATTTTATTTAATTCATTTAAATGATTCTTTTAACTTACAACATACATATAATCATAGAAACATGTGCCTGAAGCAATAAGGCATGTCTTTATTTACTAAAACATCAATTTAATAAATATAATAAAACAATTACTCGCCTATAATGACACAGCTTTCTTTTTCTCTTTTCAACCTAACACTTATAAAGCTTAAATCCTAACTAAATATAACTTGTCTCATACGAAAGTTATGTATTCATTGAAAGTTAAGGATTCCTTGAAAGCTTAAATCCTGATAACTATAAATTGCATTATATTTAGTAGAGAAATATAAGTTGTCTCATATGAAAGTTATGTAATAGACATATATGTTTGTATGTAAATAAAAAAATTCACCCTCTTATAGTACAGGCTGAGGACGCCAATATACTCGCATGTGTGGATGTCATCCTACTATCCCAGACAATTATGATATTTAAATTGTTAATTGTTGTGTCGATGAAAAAATATCGGCCAGGGGCAAGTAGGCACATGCCCATCTCAGACAATCGTATAAATTAGATCACGAACCGTTGTGTCAATGGGTGTGTTAGGTATGTTTTGATGGTACTCCTAAAATGGACGTGAAAGTGAAGGGTATAAATAAAAGAAAAGTTAAATACTAAAATTTAGAAAGTAAAGTTAAAGTTAATGTATATAAAAGTTAAAGTTATTTTCAATAAGTAAATATCATGGGCACATGCAATAAATTATATAAGATTTCTAGAGTTAAATATAAAAGACCCAAATACATATTGCTTTCTTTTCCCTGAGTTACTATTGTTTAAAAGGGTGGTTGCTCCAATGTATTATTTTAACTAACTCATTATATTATTTTAATAATTTTTTCAGATTTAAAATTTTAAATAAGATGAATACTAGAAGATTTAATGTGTGAAAGAGACCAAAACAACAATCGGAAAGGTAAAACTTTTAAAATGTTATTTAAATTATTTTCTTTAGTGATTCTTTTATAAATATTTGAGTGACATAATTAAAAATTGTGAGGGATACAATTAGAATAATAGAAATTTTAATTCTACCTTCCGGCCGTCTATTCTTGCCTTAATCAATTATAAGTTTTGGTTCAAGTCATGACATCTATCCATTTCTCTTATTCGTCCAACAGTGATTGCTTAGGTTCACCCATGTAGTCCTGCATTCTAAGAAGTGTTTGGGCCTTATTGTCGGCGTAATTTGTGTATTTCTTCTATGTTTAATATTAGCTCCCCTGGCTTCTAACATCTCGCACCAAAGCACTTCTCTCGCATGTTTTGGCGATTGGTGTTCTTCCTCAACCTCAACCACACTATTTCAATTACTTTGCATTATATTCCTCTCTTAAGTACTATTATAGGCAAACCCCTGCAAAATGATAGTACAACCTGTCAACTTTCTAAAATGACCGGGTTAGAATTAAAGTTGAAATCGATCTTATTATGCCTCTAGATAACGAGGCCAAAATTGTCCTCCTCTCTTGTTATTACTAGCAGAATGCAATATTTGAATGCATACCTTGTACCATACCTTAACCAAATGGTAATAATTGCTTTGAATGCATCAAAGCTCATGCAAAACTATAAAAAGCATCTATAAGTGACTTTAACAATCAGAAACAATGGGAGCATACAGATAATTAAAACCTATCTTCTCTAGTGGGGAAGCAACTCTACCTTCAATATAGGCATACACAGAAAGTCGGAACATAATCTAAATATGATTATAGAAAGTCTCCTCTTATTGTACAAAGGCTGAAGTAAGATATCAAATTGTCATTGTATCGAAGAACATTGCTACAATTCGTCCAACTGTTTGAGGCACTCATTCCCTTTCTAATGTTGAGGTTGCATAAGCCAAGGATTCTGAGTAGATCTTCTTTATATGGTAGTTTACTAAGTACTGAATCCCAAGTAAATAGCAACGTTCAAATCCTACTTTCAAAAGGGATTTAAAAAATTTATGGTCATTGACCGTACGCTACAAGCTAGGGAACATAAATGAGAGCTTTCATGAATCTCTCTCTCAGATAGATATTTTCTACTCATTCATCATGTTACCTTAGCTTGTATGTTTTTTATTTAGATGTTAATATGGCAATTTTTTATAACTGCCTTACGTACATACATTTCCTTATAACAATCTTATGCTTTGTTAAGGAAACATTTCCATCAATAGTGCTCTCCCACAAATGACAGGAATAATTAACGAAGAGGCTTAGAGCCATAAGAAATCTCAGCTCCAGATCTAAATATCAACAAAAATTTGGCTATAGCAAACAGAATCAACTTCGTGAAAATGCTCCTGATTCTTGAATTTCACACTGAGAAGATTATATGGTGGGGTTCACTTCTTGTACCTTCGTAATGCTTGTTAACTATAATTAGATTATGTTTCAAAAAGGTGTTGTATGGATTACATTTAGGTGTAACATCTGATATAATGCTTCAAAAGAGAAGATTACAAATTATGAAGGCTTATGAAAAATTAAAAAAAGCAAAGGAAATGTTCATTAAATGAACGACAATGGTGATAATGCAGAGACACATGAAATCACAAAAAAATGTAATTAGTAATGAAATATAAAACATCAAATAAGGAAATTACCTCCTCGGTTGTATGGCAGCTTACGAATGGGGTCACCATCACCAAGTTCAACATCAAAAACTAAAGATCAGAAAAAAAAAAATGCAATGGTAATGCACACGCAATTATAGCTTCAACTTTCTAAAAAAAATGAAACATACCATAATCATACTGAATACCACCAAGTAACGGCCTATTGCTTTCATCTCCTGGTCCATCAACAACTTCACCAATCTAATTTTAAATCGGTTCAGAGTACATATAAAGAAAACTAGGAAAAATATAAATGGGAAATTCAAATATTACCATGAAACATAAGGTGAGATCAATGGGGCTCAACAAGGAAACAAGAGAAAATAAAGATGAGAAAACAAATCAACCGTATGGCGAGTAAAATCAAAAACATTTTACAGTATGACTCATTTTATTTCACCTTATAAAACCTTCAACATTATTTTTCTTTTCAAAAAATTCCGTTTCGGTCCTAAAGTAAAATAACTCTGTGAAAAATATGCATTTTTCCCCCACCCGGTCAATATCTCTTTCTCCTTCCTGGCTCTACACAAGTTATAGTGTAAGGGCATCAATAAGATAGCACCTTCCCTACCCTTTTCTCCCTCTCCCTTCCTCTTTCTTTCCACTCAATGCAACTTCAATGCTTCTTTCCATTATGAAACTTGCCTTTCCAAGACCCAAAAAGCTCTTATGTTTCCTCATATTTTGAGATAAAATGGGTTGACTAATATTAAATGACCCTACAAGCATATATGTTGGCTCAGCTGCTTGATGCATCCAGGTAGCCAATAGCAAATTAAATTAATGCTGGGAGGGGAAAATATAAATTGAAACCAAAAGACCATATCGCATAAAAACAAACAATGATCAGGAAAAAAAAATGCAATTTTCATTGGAAAAAACTAAAGGAGTACATCTATCATAACACTATCCTGGATGGTACGCAAGAATTAAATGAAACCATCATCAAAAACAATAAAACCAGACAAAAACCCAAAAACAACACAGCGAACTATTTCAGATCCGAATAGCCTAAAATTAAGAAAAAGAATAAATAAAACACAATAATGAAAAAATACACGTGCTAGAACTTCTGCATATTTTGGTGAATAGAAAGCTGTCAATAGAATTTCCGCATATCCATGCAACAAGTTACAATTTATCATAAAAAAGCCAGATAAAAAAATATATTAATTTGCACTTAGATTTTCTTTTTAAGGGAATTTGATAACAAGACTAACTAAACTTAAGGTTAGCCAGAATAAAATATGCAACATCTTAATTTTCCACCATCCACAGTTCAACCAATCGAAACCATGCCAAGGGATGGCTCTAATTTCCAAGAAAAAAAGGTAACATGCCAAATGAAATTCTAAGTTGTTCATCACATGCAGAGTTCTCATGGAATGAGTATAAGAAACCTGAGTACTTTTAAGAATAAGAACATGATACATACCCAACAAAAAATTATTATATTTTTAAAACACCCATTATTAAGTTGACCAAGCTGGCCTATTAGCAGTGAGGTTACAAATGTTGTTGGACATTTCATTTGAAAAAATAAAATGGACTGAAACATTCATTTCTTCAACTCAATTTTCCTGTCTTCTCCAAACATTGCAAACCCTTTAATGGACTGACATTGATAAATACAAATTCTCCAACTTCAAACTTTACTGGTCTGTGCTTAGCATCACAATATTTTCTCGGTCTATTCTGCACTGATTTTAGTCTGTCTCTGATCAGTCTAAGCTCTTCAGTAGCATAATTAATCAAGCCAACTCCAATGATATTTCGTTAACCTGTTTTAGCCCAACAAAAAGGTGTCGTGTACCTTCTTTCATACGAAGATTCATATGGAGTTATCCCAATACTAGCCTGGTAATTGTTATTGTATGTGAATTATATTAAAGACATGATTCTCATTCTCCACCAAAATAAATGACATATAACTTTAATAGATCTTCTAAAATTTGAATAGTCCTTTTTGACTGGCCATCAGTCTGAAGGTAAGAGATTGTACAAAAAGTCAATTTGGTGCCCAAATCTTGTTGAATCTTCTTCCACAATCTGTAAGTAAATCTATTATCTCTGTCAGAGTTAATAGACTTTGGCACTCCATGCAATCTCACAATTTGATCCGCATATAATTTACACAATCTCTCAACTAGATCTGTCTATCTATTTAGTAAGAAAGGGGCAGACTTAGTCAATCTACCAACAATTAACAAAACTAGGACGTGATCTAGACAATCCAATCAAAAAATTCATAGCAATCTACTCCCATTTTAATCTAGAATTTGTAAAGGCTGCAACTAACCTCAAAAATAATGATTTTATGACTTCACTAGCTAATATGTAGGACACTTAGTCACAATTTTTGCTATGCCCCTCTTCAATCATGGCCACCAAAATATTTCATTGAGATCTTGATATATTTTATTACCCCTTGAATGAATAACATAGTCAGATAATCGTGCCTCCTCTAAAATTTCTCGTCTCAAATTATCAATGTCTGGAACATAAACCTTGCATTTATATTTCAACAAGTCATCCTAAGCTAACACATAGTTCACCAAATTGCCTAGCTTGAACCAGCTCCAGGATTTTCTGAACATTGTTATCTCTGGCTAATGACATGCAATCTCACAATTTGATCCACACATAATTTAGATAATCTGTCAACTAGATTTGTCTATCTATTTAGTAAGAAATGGGCAGATTTAGTCAATCTACCAACAATTAACAAAACTAGGACGTGATCTAGACAATCCAATCAAAAAATTCATAGCAATCTACTCCCATTTTACTCTAGAATTTGTAAAGGCTGCAACTAACCTCAAAAATAATGATTTTATGACTTCACTAGCTAATATGTAGGACACTTAGTCACAATTTTTGCTATGCCCCTCTTCAATCATGGCCACCAAAATATTTCATTGAGATCTTGATATATTTTATTACCTCTTGAACGAATAATATAGTCAGATAAATGTGCCACCTCTAGAATTTCCCGTCTCAACATATCAATATCTGAACATAAACCCTGCATTTATATTTCAACAAGTCAACGTAATCTAACACATACTTCACCAAATTGCCTGGCTTAAACTAGCTCCAAGATTTTCTGAACATTGTTATCTCTGGCTAATGACATGCAATCTCACAATTAGATTCACATATAATTTAGATAATCTCTCAAATAGATCTGTCTATCTATTTAGTAAGAAATGGGCAGACTTAGTTAATCTACCAACAATTAACAAAACAAGGACATGATCTAGACAATCCAATCAAAAAATTTATAGCAATCTACTCCAATTTTACACTAGAAAATGTAAAGGCTGCAACTAACCTCAAGGATAATGATGTTATGCCTTCACTAGCTAAC